GACGATTTTGAAGTAAAAGTCAATATCCTTGCACAGGAGTCCAAAACACCAGCGCGAAAACTCCTAGAGACTTTTTGGATCAATGCCAAAAACCCTACAATGAATAGCAGGGACGAATGCCCGGAGGTCATACGCGACCTGATCCCGTACGTTCGCATCGATTTTTGATGTGGGATGGTGCAGTCGTCAACCACATGCGACTATAATCAGCTGTTCTAAACTTCCTCATTGGAAGTCACGAAAAAGCGGTGGGTTTTTCGAGAAGTTGTTGATCGTGTAATTACCAAAGAGTCTTTCGTCTTTGTGTAAGTGTTATTGAAGCGTTTGGCCTAGTAGATTGTATATCAGTATACCCTTCCAGGCTCTGAAGAAGGCGATACTGCCGAAACGTCAGCTAGCGTTGTATTGTATTGTGTTTTTCTATGGAAGTAAATGTATGCTGTTTAAAAACCTCGCGATTGCTGAACAAGAAAACGACACATTCATATTCCAATGCCGAGGTTAAGAGAAAGTCGATCCTGGGAACTATTACAAGAATTGATATAGTTGCATATTTCAATGAGGTCTCTCAATACTGGGAACTCTGTCCTTTATTGTTTGTCGTTTTAAAGGAAATAAGTAATATGATACACATATAAACCTAATCTTTCAAAGTTTTTCTGATTCAGTTTTCTACTCAAAAGTTACAGCATTTACATTGCACTGCTGACTAAGTTGTCAACTGTGGAATGCATTTCGTTTATTTTAGCCGATGCCTAAGGCGACAGTGGATCGTTCTCGAATTCGGCTGGGCTACTACGTTTTCACGACGTTCGGCAAGTTGTTGGATGACAGTGACGGGAAAACGATTGTGAATAGCCATGTGATTGGAGCATCAGTCGATGACGCGACTATACGCTTACGGTGTGCGACGAAAAAATTAGAATAAATCCGTTGTTATTCCAAAAATGCGAGGCCAATAGTCGACATTTATTTTCTAATTGGTCACATATCATGCTTTTTTCGCGCAAATTACGTTCTCAAGACTTGTTTATATTTATAAATATTTCATTAGGAGAGCACAACACTGATTCGATCCCTCCATGGTATAACCGCCTTCTCAGCCACTCAGGGTCAGGAAATTAGTGTCAGATTTGTCTGGGAGCAGTTAAGTGCTTACAGTACAAATGAGAACGCTATAGCCCTGCTATCTCAGAACTCCAGGGAGTATCCACTCTACCAGCATTCAACATCATTCATAAACGTGAGGACAATCTCCAAACAAACTCAGAGAACTCAAAGATCTTCGTGGATGACTGGTACAAGGAAACGAATCTAGTGGAAGAACATCTGGAATCGGTAGAATAGATGTGAAGATGGGTCGTCTGAACAACATGTTTCTATGATAAGAATTCATTCATGACTTAATTTTTGAGGAATGAAGCACTTTCATGACGTCGAACAACAGTAATTGCCGTTTTTAGCAAATGTTGCTGTTGTCGTAAATCTGTTATCGTTCCAGTCTTCCCGATGATCAACCAGTTACCTTCACCTTCTATCACCTAAGAAGAGATGGCGTCAGTAATCCTAGATGTGTTTATTGGGATTTAAACGTAAAGTTGGTTAATTTATTAGCTTCTTCTTCTAGGATGTCACTACATTGCAAGGTAATTCTTTGCTAATTGATCCTATTACTTAACTTTTTAAAGAAAATGGAGTACAAACGGTTGTGAAATCATTTCAACGAATAATGAAACTACGAAGTGTGCGTGCAACCATCTCACAAGGTTAGTGAAATCGTGATCGTCTTGTCTTCCATTAAGAGTTTGTCGGACTTTGGCTCTTAAGTGGAGCCTTTCAACAATATCCGTATTAAAAATCACAATGGTAATAGTAATGATAACAAGCAAAAACTACGATTTTAGTGATAACGAGCTGTAAACGAAGTTAAATAATAGTGTTAAAGAAAATCGCTATTTAGAAGACAATACTATCACAGTGACGCATTACAGTTTCGCCATACTAATGGATGTCTCCGGTAAGGTGTCCCAATATTCGGGCGCCATTGCTTCGGCTCTGGACGTTGTGTCGATCATAGGCTGCTCACTTTCTATTGTATGTCTAACTATGTCGCTATTTGTGTTCACGTTTTTCAGGTTAGCTTTTCAAAAACTCAGTTTTTATCCGACGCGCTATGTATCAAATATTGTAGTGAAGGGGTTAGAAGTGTTATGTAATGCACGTGCAGAGTTTCATTTGACTCGACCTTGACCGAGTCGCATCCCTCCAGTGTCGAAAAGTTGATTCCAGGCTTTTGATCAATGCCAAAAAAAAGTTGATCAATGCCGAATATCTTAATGATCGACTTCCATTAAAGCTGGTAGCAATAATCACTAATTTTTTTTAAACGACGGCTGAGGCGAGGTTGGTATAAGAAACTTTTAATCGGCTAACGTTTTGGCGCCTTCGCCTTCTTAGCTGCATTGATCTTAGTCGATTGTCTATGGCTGGACCTTATCACGACGTGGGTGTTGGTTGTCCCACGGAGTTAAATCCAGTAGTGTGTGCACCGCTGGAGTGATCAACTTCACTCACAGGTGCCCCTTTATACAGGGCACATGTAGGTCGATCACGATCATTCAATATCATCTGATTTTTGACGGGTATTGCATCCGGTAGCAGTCGACACACCATTTCCTGCCACGTAGGGTGTTAGTATGTCAAAAATCTACTTTCATAATAAATTATTCGAAATGATTGGGTTGTCACAAAGGTGGTACAAGAACTTTTATTTGGCTAACATTTCGATGCCTTCGCCTTCTTCACCTGCATCGCGACATCGACCATCTATGAATCATCGACTGCGATCAATGCGGCTCTGAGGAAGGCGACGGCGCTAAAACGTAAGCCAAATAAAAGTTTTTTATACTAGCCGCAAGCTACCTCAATCATTTGGAAAATTACTAACACCGAATACTTTATCCTTCGATTAATCAATGCTATGTTGCTGGCTGGGTAAGCACCATGTTATTACTACACTATTTATTCACAAAAAAGCTGACGTTCCGGCGGAATTCACCTTCTTCAAAACCTGGAAAGGTCAAGAAGTTAACTGCAATCTATTCAGCGAGACGCTTCCATAGAGTCAGCAGGGAAACGCTGCACCTAAACTTCAATTGCATTGGAAACAATTTCTTCAGATACTCACTGTTCTCTAAAAGTCTTCCACTTTATGAAGTAGACCAACCGCACGAAGTTTCTATAGGTGAGAAATGCATCTCTATTACGTTAAGATATCAATCCAAGATACCGTGCGACATTATAACGATAACGACACATTTCACACTGCAGCTCATCTCTGAGTCTTTGAATTTTTCTGAAAGCCTCGAGATCTTCGCGTGTCGAAGTTTTAGATTTATTTGCGAGGTTGGTGACTGTTGCTTCGAAATTTTCTCCTTTGTTCTTTTGTATTGTCCTATTCACGCCTAGTGAAGTACTTACTTGGACATTGGATGGCCTGTGATTTACTGGTTTAGCCGTTGTGGTTCCCTGGAGTCCCGAAGACATCCTGGCCAAAGTCTGCTCGAGCTCGTCACAACCATTGGCAGTCGCAGTCATTGTGAACCAAAGGGAGGAAGTTTGCCGCCATGAGACTAGTTTGATGCCAAAACGGTGGTGGATTCTGGTATTTGTTTACCCTTAGCTGGGCTTACTCATGGAAACGTCGGATTCTTCAGCTTGGGAAACCCTGCCAGGGGATGTGTACCCCGTTCTACACCACAACCCGACTCCCAGGAACATCTCGGAGCCACGATTAGGGCGGCTAACCGTTGGGAGGCGCCTATCGGAGTATATTTTTCAAATTAAGATTCCCATCTAGATGGTTGTATGCGGACATCCGTTTTGTTCATGTATTTGTCTCCGCACACTTTACTGGAACTCTCGGAATCACCGTCTCTGGCGTTTGCACAGGATATGAATTTGTGCGTTGTGCACAGATGGTTAAATGGTAACAAACTAGCTGACGTTTTAAGGTGTCCGCTGGTATTCCAGTCACTGCTACCGAGTTCTCTAGGTCGACCCTTCTTAAGGAACGTTTTGTAGCTGAGCTTGTTTCATTAGAAATGACAGGTGGAGTATACAGGATCTTACTCTCGGTAGAATCGTCGTTTGGGACTTTGGTTTTCATACACACGTATCACACTAGCTCGCCCATTGAAAATGGCTATTTGCCGCGCCAAGTTCGAGGTTTCCTCCTTCTGCTCTCTTCCTGTGCACACACTGGTTGCTGTTCGAAACGTGTTTTTTACAAGCGTCTCTTTCGTTTGTGAGGAATGAGAGAAGAGATAATGCGCCGCTATGTTTTTGTTAGTTAGTTTTCGATACCATTTGTCGTGTTCATTACCGTCCAGCAACTCAAAACAATTCTTTCTTTTCTGCTGTGTGGAACAGATCACAAAACATTTTCACTCCACCAGGCGGGTTTAGGACACACAGGCACAACAAAGAAGATTTTAATGTAGAATTCACCATCCACCCAAGAGAGTCTGAAACTTCGGCAGGCAAAACTCTTGAGATACATCCGCAATGATGCTAAGATATTTGCAAAACTCCAGGCCGCAGATGTCTGTTGTGGGAAACGAACACCCTGTTACCCCTTCCGAGGGCTAACGCGTTCACCACCACACCATGCGTGTCCTTCATTTTGCTTCTGTCTCGGCTGGGTCTATCGATCGTTGCTATCAGAAATCACCCGTCAACGGGATTGATCTGGGGAGCCCAAATCGAAATTGAACCCAATTAAGCCGAAGCAGTAGTCGAAATCACATTGTTAACTTTTTATTTACTGCCTAATACTAATAAGAGACAGGCGAATCGAAGGACCCGCATGGTGTGGTGGTGAGCGCGTTAGCCCCGAAAGGGTAAAAAGGCGTTCATTTCCACTGCAGACACCTGTGATTCAGAGTTTTGCAAATATCTCAGCATTATTATGGTTGGATCACACATAGTACCCCGTTGTAGAAATTCTAATCGGCAGTAAATAGAAAATCATCTTTTGAGATACTTTGGAAAACTTCAAAAACCTAAAGATGAGCCATCTCGCACAATATCCCATACTGATATTTTAACGTGAGGGAGATGTATAACCCACCTACTGAAACTGTGCAGTTTCTTACATCATTAAGTGGAAGACTATTAAAAAACGATGAATATTTGAATGGACTGTTCCTAATAGACCTTATTTTACTGGCAAGCTAAAACGGGTTTGCTACCAGCTGTTTATTCCGAATGGATCCGACTGTTTCCACTGGAATTAGCATTTTGATCTCTGGTCTTTCTATTGGGGCCATCATTGTAGTCAACCCTGTCCAGACTCTAAGGACGGCGGAGCCGTTGAAAAGCAGGATTTCGAGGATGAATAAATGCCATTATAACAACCTTCTGCTTTCTCATTAAAAAAGTAAATTATTATTCATTGTCGAGGTAGAAATTTGGCACCGAGAATTGCTTTTTTTTTTACTGTTTATGATAAACGGTAAAACTAAGCCTGTTTTGAATCCAGAGAGAACTTACTAGAATAATTTACTTGTTTTAGTTCGCTCTACAGTGTTCGAAATGCAATTCATCGTAATCTTTGCTTGACTCTCATATTTTCGGAGCTGATATTTGTAATGGGTGAGTTTGGTTGAAGACGAATTGTAAAATAAATAATAGCTTTCAAGTAGTGTTTAAGTTTTACTTACTTCCAATTCATTTTTTCTGGCAGAGCATTGTGTTAAATGCGACTACAAGGATGCTGAGATATGAGCAAACCTTCGGGCCTCACTTGGGATTCGAGTCCGCGGTTATCCTTTCCTAGGGCTCTCGTGCCATCCACCACACCAACCGTGGCCATCGGAAAGCGTAATCGCGTTTTCAAACGCCATCTAAAGTTCCGAGTATTGCTGATATCTCGGCTTTCACATAGTATCTTTCTTTATCTGACCACTCGGCTAGATTAGATGGCAGAAACGTAATGATGATCTTGATTTTTTTCACTTCCAAGTGAATTCACTTCGAGCCGCATCAAACTGCTTATTTCTCATTATCGCTCTCTATCCGTTCCGTTATCCAAATGTTGTTTAAGGAATCGATCGTACCCAGAGCCATGTGGGTTGTTCCATCGTTGCTTTACTACTACACTACTTTTTTCTAGTCGCGTTTTGCTGGATGCTTCTCGAAGGCTATCAACTTTACTTAATGCTCATTCAGGTTAGTGACGTGATTTAATAGATTACCGTGCTTGCTGATAGGAAAAGAGTTACTGTGCTTGTTGATAGGATAAGAGTCACCATACTTGCTGATAAGATGGGAGTGAGTAATAGAATTCGGTGACCACGGATACCTCAACACGTGTGGGCCGTGATCCGAATTTGAGCCGCACACAATCTTAGCCTACGACAATCAAGTCAAGCTCTTCGTAGTATCGTTGCGTTGTTCGTTAAAAAACCTCTGCAACTGCTTTGCTACCTTCCAGATATCTGTTGTAGCTACAATGTTTGATAGGTTTTCGAGCCGGACAAAACTCGAATGCTCCTTTACTACATGTTCTCGTACGGTCTTCCAGCTGTTGTCGTAGCAGTGTCAGCCGGTGTCGCCTGGCACAACTATGGCACTAACGAGTAGTGAGTTTATACGCTGTGTTCTAATTTTGAAACCTGTGTAGTATTCAAAGTAAATTTGACTGTGAGTAAATTCATTAACAATTCTTCCATTCTTTTATTCATTAAGATCAGTTGAACACTTGCACGTCATTTGTACCTTTAATACAATCAAATTATGTTCTGCCACGACCGACTTTCTATTAACCTCGGCATTGATCAAGTGATTTTCTTCGTATTTTTGTTGAGCAAACGCGAGGTGTTACTATTCTTTGTTCACGATTAAGCTGACGTTTCGGCGAATTTCGCCTTCTTCAGAGCCGCTTTCTATGATGTTTCCACTAAGTATGTCACGTAGAGACCAACCGCACAGAAATCACGTGGAAGTATAATGTGTAAAGTATACATGCTGTAATGCTCAACAAAAATACGAAGAAAATTATGTTCTTTTTTGTCTTAGAAATCACGGTACTTCTTAGTAACTGCTTAGGATTTTCACCGTCCCTCCCTAACAGAGTCTACAATAATGGGATGGATATTGTATATCGATCGCGCTTATTCTTTATGCGTGGTTTAGTTGATTACTGTACAGACGGTAGGAGGGTTTTTTGCACCAAAACTGTTTACATTATTTATTCCGAAAATGATTCACTACTTTTTCACTTAATCATACATCTGGATGGCCGTTCTTCACGAATCACAAGTAATCGTGACGACATCAGCGTAATTTCTATTCCGTGCTAATTTGTGGGTACAACAAAATTTTCACTCACTGTGGTCTCGAAGGCTCGCCAAGCCTTCCTTCCCTCCGGGGTCGGCAAATTGTTACCAGACTTGTCTGGGAGGATAGCAGCACTGGCTCGATACATCGGTGGACCTCTAAACGATGCTTAATGAAGTCGAATGTATGGCCCATCCCTCAGGGATTGATCAATGCCGAGAGCTTTATCCTTTTATTTTTTATTAGCAGTGGTTTCGTTAACAATGCTCTCGTCAACAATGCAAATCCGCAGTACTCGGAACAAGTTCATGAATGTCTCCATCACTACACGTGTACAACATCAAATAGTGCAATAAAACCGTGGGCGGTGAAAAAACGTGCCACACTTTCTCGTTGTTGAAAACAAGAAGATTCCCTCGCAATGAACTGCGTTAGCATGCTGTACGAGCAATCGACGATGCCAACGATGTTTGAACCATAATAGTTCAATAGTTCTCGCATAGCCCCACCCTAAACATGAGTTATTATAAAGTTAGTAAGTGCTAGATTTCCTTCCATTTGACCAGGATTCAGAAAAAGACACTTCTACCTCTAATAAAACTGCTTAATATGTAATCTTTCTTTGACAAGTTGGATGGCAGGAGGCGCCACTGTGACACATACGTGGAATCGATCCCCGCACCCATGGTCCGCTAAGCCTTCCATTCCTTCGGGGTCAGCAAATTGGTGCCAGACTTGTCTGCGAGGATAGCAGCACTGGCTCCATACATCGGTAGGTCGCCGCGTGTTATTTTAAAGGCCAGATATGCATTCTATCACCTCCAAACAATGCTTAATGAAGTCGAATGCATGGCGCATCACTTACGGTTTGATCAACGCCGAGGCCTTTATTCTTTTATTTTTTATTAGCATTTTATTTTATTGGTTCCTAAATGTTCTACTCCTGGTTGGGCTTTGGGATCTAAGTGTCGAATTTCTTCTCGCTTGGGAACTCCTGGTGACGAATCAACCATTAGCTTACGTCATCAATATTTGATACCCAGGAACAACTTCCGTTCACAACAAGGGCTCAAATTATTGAGGGGATTAGATCATTGAACGAATATACTTCGTTTGAAAAATTAGGGATTAGAGTGATAGATGTGAATATTTGATCTTCTGCAAACGTTTCCATCGTTATAACTCCACTCATCTTTGAGAATTTGGAACACTATTTATTAGGAATTGAACTGCAGGAGCCAAATGCAGTGTTGGTCCTCGTTGTAAGAGCAACAGCAAATATCCTCACTGTATTCTTTCTTTGATGAGCTTACACGAGGTTGATAATGATGTTTATTTTCGGCTAACGTTTCGACGTCTTCGTCTTCCTCGGAGCCGATGATCCGAGTCGCTGGTCCTCGCTTGTTATTCGCCTCGACGTGGTAGCTTCGCCTTCGTGTCGAGTTAGGTCTTCTTCAGTGAGCCATCTCCTCGAATGAGGCATCCTTACTCAGTGATGCCCTTTTATACACGATGCTGATGGTCGATATAATGATAATGTCCGGTGATAATAACTTGTTTTTCTTCCGGACATACATCATTGCGCACATCGTGCAGAATCCGGTGTTGTCCTCACTGTGTTCATAATGTAAAAATTCGCGGAGTTTGCAATGCTTCAACTCATATCTAAAAGAATACCGTTAAAAGTTCAAGAATAAGAAGAAAACAATGAAAGCGAGAACGCATTGAAGAACTCACAGACAGAGGTAATTTTTTTCGTATTTTTGTTGAGCAAACGCGAGGTGTTATTATTCTTTGTCCACGATTAAGCTGACGTTTCGGCGGATTTCGTCTTCCTCAGAGCCTGGGAAGGTCAAGTTGATAGCAATCTACTCGGCCAGACGCCTCCATAACCAAACAAAGAAACTCTAAATCAAGATTTCAATCACTTTGAACACAGCTTTGCAAACTCACCGCTTCCTATGAGGTTTCCACTAAGTGTGTCACGTAGAGACCAACCGCACAGAAATCACATGGAAGTATAATGTATCCCTTACATCAGAAAAGCAGTTTTATATACTGCTCTATATCACGCGTGATAATGAGGCATTCTTCCCTGCGGTTCATTTTCGGATTTCTGGAATTAATCCAGAATGCCTCGAGAGCTTTTCGCGCCTGTGTTCTTGATTCGCGTGCGAGGATCGACACATACTTCGAAGTCGTCCTCGTTATGTCTCTGGGTCCTATGCGTGCCTAACGGGGTGTTTGGTCTATGTTTGCCGGCTAGGTGTTCTTTTATGCGGACACAGAGGAGTCTGCCCGTTTCGCCAATGTATTCGTCTCCGCACGTCTTACAGGAGATCAGATAAACTATACCCGAGCTCATGCAATCACCGTCTCTACCACTGGGATAAATTATGCAGTAATACGAAGAATTACTTGATCAATGGCGAGGTTAATAGAAAGTCGGTCGTGGCAGTCACAGACAGAGGTTTCGTCACTGAAGTTCTTATCTTCGGACACTACCGATTTCTAGCAATTACCAACCCAATGGGCGTGTATAGGATGTTGGATAGAGGTACCCTTGAATATGCACTGAATCGTTTGTTCGAACCCGCGTCCCGTCCTACTTGTCTGGGATGATAAAAACACTGACTTTATGTATTCTTTTTTTGATGAGCTTACACGAGGTTGATAATGATATTTATTTCCGGCTAACATTTCGACGTCTTCGTCTTCCTCAGAACCGATGATCCCAGTCGATGGTCCTCGCTTGTTATTCGTCTCGACGTGGCAGCTTCGCCTTCGTGTCGAGTCAGTTCTTCTTCAGTGAGCCATCTCCTCGAATGAGGTATCCTTACTCAGTGATGCCCTTTTATACACGATGCTGATGGTGGATATAATGATAATGGCCGTTGGTAACAACTTGTTTTTCTTCCGGACATAATCATCGCGCACATCGTGCAGAAGTTGGTGTTATTATCAGCTAGCACAAAGCGTAGTAATATTTAGAAACCGACTTTCCTTGAACCTCGGTATCACTAATCAATATGTATTCTTTCTTAGGCGAATCTGCCACGTCGAGGCGAATAACAAGCGAGGACCACCGACTCGGATCATCGGCTCTGAGGAAGACGAAAACGTCGAAACGTTAGCCGAAAATAAACATCATTATCAACCTCGTGTAATTTCATCAAAGAAAGAATACATATTGATTAGTGATACCGAGGTTCAAGGAAAGTCGGTTTCGAAATATTACTGACTTTATATTCCTCGTATTTTTGTTGAGCAAACGCGACGTGTTATTCTTTTTATTCACGAATAAGCTGACGTTTCGGCGAATTTCGTCTTCCTCAGAGCCTGGAAAGGTCAAGTTGACAACAATCTATTCGGCCAGACACCTCCATAACCAAGCAAAGAAACTGTAAACCAAGATTTCAATCACATTGAACACAGTTTTGCACACTCACCGCCTTCTATGAGGTTTCCACTAAGTAAATCGTGTGAAGACCGACCGCACAGAGTTCACATGGAAGCATAATGTGCCCCACCCGTCAGAATAGCAAATGTAGAATAGAATAGTAATCCTATGCGCCAGCTAGTTCGTAACAGCCTATATGACCTGCAACTCAAAATTGCATAATTTGCTCCAGTGATAGAGACGGTGATTGAATGAGCTCGAGTATAGTTTATCTGATCTCCTGTAAGACGTGCGGTGACGAATACATTGGCGAAACGGGTAGACCCCTCTGTGTGCGCATAAAAAAAACACCTAGGCGGCAAACGTCAACCAAATACCCCGCTAGGCACGCATAGGACCCAGAGACATAACGGAGAGACTTTGAAGTATGTGTCACGATCCTCGCACGCGAATCAAGAACACAAGCGCGCAAAACTCTCGAGTCATTCTGGATTAATTCCAGAAATCCGAAAATGAACCACAGGAAAGAATGCCTCGTTATCACGCGTGATATAAGGCAGTATATAAGACTGTTATTCTGATGGGAGGGGCACATTAGGCGTCCACGTGATTTCTGTGCGGTTGATCTTCACGCGACATACTTAGTGGGAACCTCATAGAAAGCGGTGAGTGTGCAAAGCTGTGTCCAATGTGATTGAAATCTTGCTTTAGAGTTTCTTTGTTTGGTTATGGAGGTGCCTGGTCGAATAGATTGCTATCAACTTGACCTTTCCAAGCTCGGAAGAAAGCGAAATCCGCCGAAACGTCAGCTTATTCGTGAATAAAGAATAATAACACCTCGTGTTTGCTCAACAAAAATACGAATAATTACTTGATCAATACCGAAGTTAATAGAAAGTCGGTCGTGGGAGTTACTGACTTTATATATCGATAAGCCACCGAAGGTTATTGCCAAATGCCAGATGAGAATTTAGTCACCTATCCGATGCCTAATGAACTCAAATGCAGGGCACACCTATCAAGGGTTGATGAGCACCTAAAATTTAATCCTTGTCCTTATTCTTTTCAAACCAGTAACTTTTCAGTTGCTGGATTAACACCTCTACACCTACTCTATGGGCTTTCATTGGACCTGTTGCAGTTGTTATTGTGGTAGGTAATCTAAGTCATTAGAAAATACCTGCCTAAACGGTAAAGTGGTTGAATATTTCAGATAAATGTGATCTTTCTGGCAGTCGCATTGAAGGTGGTACTTTCGGTGAAAAGCCGTGATCGTAACAGAAGTGATCGTGTCGTTGGTTGGCTGAAGGTGAGCCGTTTACGATTCCCTAAATGTTTTCGTAAAGGATCATTATCCTTTCGCTTTTCGCATGATATTTTCCAAGTGTGGCTCTCTGGTAGCCGTTAGGAGTTTGGAATATTCATGAATACTTTGTCCAGCTGTCGTGGGGTAAACGTGGATCTCAATTTGTGAAGGCGAATCCGAACCGCCCCGTCTATACTTGTTTTCAGTCACTTAATAGCACAATGCTAACCGAATCAGCAAACAATAGAAATTTTTCATTCATGGAGGTCCACCGACTATGTATGAATAAGATTGAATACATATTATATCTACACGAACTCTATAGATCCAATTCGCTGCTACGAAGACAGAGAGCCTTCAGCTTAATTTACGCTGGTCTCAAGTCAAATACATGATCGTCGTTAGTATCCGTTTATCGTCCTATTTACCCAAACTGGGTAAAATTTTCATTCTATTATTCATTACATCACCACACAGCACTCCTTGCATTTGATTCGTTTCTACGCCTCTACCTTCTATAGGGATCTTCGAACATTTCGCATATGGGTTCAGATGCTATTTGAGGATTTCCCATCATCGTCGCGAATGCCATTGAATCAATTCTGATCGAATTGCTTTTTCCTGGAGCCCTGGAATAGTCGTGCTGAAGGTCCCTACATGGATTAGATGGAATAGGCTTGTCTTAGATAGGACTCAAACCAATTTTCGGACGCAGGAGGAATGAGGAATGAAGGTGAGCTCGATGCAAAGTCGGACCAGAACATGGATAGGTTGGGCGGTAAGGGATAAAAAAGCTCTCGGCACTGATCAATCCCCGAGGGATGCACCACGCATTCGATTTCACTAATTATCGTTGGAGGTGATTGATGTGATTGAATGCATATCTGGCCTTTACAATGACTCGCGATGGCCTACTGATGTATCGACTCAGTGCTGCAATCCTCCCAGACAAGTCTGGTACTAATTTGCCGACCTCGGAGGGATGGAGGGCTTGGCGGGCCATGGGCGCGGAGATCGATTCCACATGTGTGTCGCAGTAGCGCCTCCAACTACTGCGTCACACGCCTTTTTTGGGTTGGGCGGTCTAAGTAATAAAGAGGATTTTTACCACTGTACCACCCACTCACGTTTAATAGGTTGAGAAGGTGCAGTTAATGCTGTCTTTATGCCTAATAAGCTGGAGGTCAGTTATTCAGTGGAGAATTGCATACCTGCGAGATGTACTCATCTTGAAGGTGTGTTTTTAAATTACACGATTTGGGAACCTACTGAATAAAATCAAACTTTATCCTCTTTAAGAGACCGATTTACACGGAATAGAGTACCGTTCTTTTGATTCGCTGCGAGAATGTTGTTAATGTGAATTTTATCATAAGGGCTAACATTTAATTCAACTTAGCCTTCTTCAGAGCCTGTAAAAGTCAAATTGGCGTGCAATATATTAACTCAAACACTTCCATAACCTAATCAGATTAAACCCAATGGGTAAATTTCATCTGCATAATTTGCACAATAAGCCACTTCTTTCAAATACTCATCGTTTTGCACTTTATGCCTTCTTGTTATTGTTTGAGACCAGCACCACAGAGTCAAAAAGGGAAGTGCTCGGCTCAAGTCAAAAAATTGGCTTGAGGTATGGCAAGAAGCTACAAGTGATCACACAAAGCACTCTTGATTTGCGATTCGTTTTTGAAGTATTATGGTTTGTCCAGAATGCTACAAGAGTTTTATGAGCTAATGTTTTGTGTTCCTATGCCAGGATACCGACTTTTGCTTCAAAATCTTCTCCGTTATGACTTCGGTTCCTATGCTTGTCTAGTGGAATGTTCTTTTCGACTTTAGGTTTCCTGAATAGGTACTCTTTTCCATGGTCGTGGAGTGGTCTACATATTTCACCAACGTATTCGTTCCCGCACTCTTTACAAGAGATTTGATACATCGTAGCCGAACTCATGGGATCACCGTCTCCACTGCTGAGCAAATTATGCAGTTGTGCGTTTCGCATAGACGGTCGAACAATGAGTTGCGAACTAACTGGCCTCTTAAAGTCTTCAGTGGTTCAGGAAAATTTGGCCGTTCGTGACAGGAGCTAGGATGTATTTCAGCAATTGGACGAGTATTAGATTTATAAACCAAACTACTGTATCCGAGGTCCTTTTATACAGCTCATGATGCGTCAAGTCAAACGTTGAAAACTAAGGATTCTGTACACGCAGTATAACTTCTTGTAAAGAGTATGGAAATTAATACGTTGGCAGAACGGGTATATTACTCCGCATCTGTGTAAAAGGGAACCTAGTTGGGAAGCTTAAAGTCAAACAGAGCAATCTAAGCATAGGGCACGAAGGCATAACAGAGAATGTTTTGAAGTAAAAATCATTACCTCTCTAGGAATCCTTCACATCAGTGCATAAGACTCTTAAGACTCTAACATAGAACTCTAAAACATTTTTGGATTTTTGGAGTTTCTCTAAACTCCAAAAATCCAAAAATGAATCGCAAGAAGGAGTGGGGAGGGAGGGGTGTGCGAAGGCGAGAAATCAAGGAGGATAAGGTGCCGCAACGTTAGCCGAATAAAGTTTTTTATCTACCTCGTTTTGGCTTATCAGTGAATGTACGCGTATTGATTGGTCATGCTGAGGTCACAAGAGTGTCGGTTTTGAAATGTTGTTACGATCTGTGCTAGCTGATAATTGCAACCTCTAACTACTGCACTATATGCGCACCTCACTTTAATATTTGCTGTAGTGTAATAAGTTCATTTCTGCAAGCGATTGGTCACAAGCTGTTAAGCATCACTAAATTAAAGTTTCTATCGTTATTCTGTGTCACTGTCATCAACCATCCTCCACAAAATAGCGCTGTCGAGTGAACCTACTTCGTACGAGAGGTGCTTCTTGATGGCTCTCTGAACAAATACAACATTGTTTTTGACAATTATTTGTGCACCTTTTCCTATCTAGTTTATTTTGTTCGAGAAAGTTCTTAAATATTTCATAATTCTCTTATAGACTAAGAACAAACTGGTGTGAAAAGAGGCGTACCCAGACGAAAGTGGAGTGCAAAATTTCCGCTTTAAATTAAAAAGACGACTTTCTTGAAAAATACAGTGGTCAAAACGTGCTTGAAAGTTTATATATATTATATATATTTATTATATAAATTATATATTATTATATATTATAATTATATATATTATTTATATTTTTTTATTATTTTTTTATTTTTCATTATTTATTATTATATTATAATTATATATATTATTTATATTTAAAATAGTTTCAGGGTTCTGCAACTCTTCTTTGTCTTCTTGGTGTAACTTGGATTTTCGGATTTCTAACAGTGGTTAATGCTACGGGCGGTGTAGTTTTCGCATGGATTTTCACCATTTTGAACTGTTCGCAGGTAACTTTACTTTACCGATTTTCATTTCGATAATGTAACTTAAGGTGTAACTTAGATAACGAAGTCTCATTGTTGCTAGTAGAATAAGCTGCACATATTATTTTATTTGGAAGTTTGCAAGTACTTCTATTAGCGAGCGGATTGAGAGAGTGAGAGCATACTTACATGACTTGTCGTCAAATGTCTTTCGCTTTTTGTAATTTATGTCCGCCCACGTGATCGAGTTCTCGCATGAGCACAGCAGCAGCTAAGGAATCTGTTGTCGCTTCTTTAGCGATTTGTTAAATACCTCTTTAAGGTGGTGTTGAAAAAAAGCAGTAGGTCCTAAATGGAAGCTAAAAATTGTGATTGCAGGGAGTATTTATCTTTATTCTACACGTAGTAATGAACGAGAAAGTTTGTTCGACGTTAGCACGCTGCACATCCAGATTTGAGAACCTGTTTCAGAGGTACTAATGAAGAAGTAGCCATCGTAAACTTGATGTTTAATAGCGGTTATGACTTTATTTTTTTGGAACTTGTGAATCAACTTGGTTCTATCTTCAGAGAATGCATCAGTAGTCGTCATCGAATCATGAATATCGTAAAGGCGAACTATCACAGTGGCAGCACTCCAGACACCGCAAGTACGGACGATAAAGAAAAGCAGCTTACACCTATTAGTAAGATTTTACGATTTTTTGTTAATTCTTCTCTATTCCACAACATTGAGTGTGTTCGGTCCAAAATAATGCCAAGGAGAGGGGGGAGTTGAATGATGGGCTTCAACACTTGCTGTAGATGATTTCTTTCATCGTAGTTGCTACTTGTTTGAATATCTATAGCGATGGAGTGTTTGATAATGCTAATTTGCAGGTTAGAAAAAGAATTAGTAAAGAAGCGCATTAAGCTCCTTGATTTCTGCCTACCTTCCAACTTTTCGTTAGTAGATTCTCGCTGTATAATGGAATTACTCGCCTCATTGAAGAAATTTAAGCAATGAAAAAATTGATGCGAAATCGATTCTCTTGTAGAATGGGGAGCATTCTGATATAGTATGTTTACAAAAGGATGACGGGTTATTACCGACAGCACCTACCAATGAAACGGCTGAGAGAAAGGCGAAACGAAGGACTCGCATGGTGTGGTGGTGAATGCGTTAACCCCGGAAAGCGCAGTAGCATGTTCAGTCTCCACCGTAGACACCAACAGTCCGAATTTTGCAAATATCTCAGCACCATTATAATCTCAAAAGGATAGATTTATTGGTGCTTTGATTCTTACTATTTGAAATCATGTGTACAGGATTTTTTGAAGCTATCGTATAAACACAGAAGGAGAAGACGCTTAGAAAATCACTTAACAATCAAGCAAAGTAGCTACTACTTACCAATCGCTTCAACTTTACCACTTTTATCAGGTAAAACAAACGAATGGTTGCGCTGCGTTACTGTAGACAACGGTGGAAGTCGTCTTTCTTCACGAAAGCTGTCCGAAAACACAAACACTATGCATGACGGCAATATGAGCAGCGATTTACGGTATATTACTTCAACAGACTATGATGCCTTTCCATAAGAGTTGTTTTTTGATTTCAGTAGCTCGCAAATGAGTGCACATAGGGAATCGGTGGAGAAGCATGCGCCAGTGAAGCGAAAAAAGTTCCCACTCGGAGCAAGCGAATACGAGAGAGGTTCTAAGCATGTAATAGTGGAACGCTTTTAGGCCTCTCATTTTTACAAAGCGGTAACACCGCGATGGAACCAAATAGCATCTATGGCAGGAAAATAAAAGCCAGCCGTGTCATTTACATTGTTCCCAACTAATCATTTAAACTAATCGAGGTATGTACAACATAATAATAATAGTTATGCATTTTAAAACTGTGTGGATGACAAAAATGGTTGAAAGTTTTTAAATTGACCGTTAAACTATAGGAATAACCTGGAATCGTGCATATTCCATCATATGAAGACGTTGTTGATACATGTGAAATATAAATGTTTATTTATGTGTGCCTGTTTATCGAAATACTGTGAGTTACCTGATTTTTGTGATTCTGGCGTTCGTATTAGGGATCTTCATGTATCTAGACGAAGCAGGCGAGCTCGCCATCGCATCTTGTTCAATAGAAAAGCCTATCGCAAAGGGAGATACCGCTTCCGATCCAAAAAGGTCAACAACTGGTTGTAGCAACGCCTTTATAACGCCACAACATGGTGATTTTGAGGTTTTAGAGAGTAATAAAGTGCTCTACCTAGGAAGTACGAGACAAATGGAAAGGAAGAGTCCCGATGATATTGTTAAAACGAGCAATTTACGCACCTAAGCGGCATCTATAAATCTTACTAAATAACGGAAATCTAAGGAATAGCAATGGAACACGTTGAAATTTAACACTGCTATCGTCCCAAACCAGTCCGGCGATTTACCCACCCCGGAGAAGTGGAAGGATTGATAGGTCATGGAAGCGGGATCGATTCCGTGTGTGTCGCTGGGCACCTCCGGCCACTGCGCCACACGCGTTCTTACCCTGACCATAATTCCCATTTTTTTGTGGAATTCTGCTGGCTTAGCCGTTGTGGTTCCCTGATATCCTAAGCTCAGCCTGGCCAAGGTCTGCCCCAGGACGTCACCACGACAAGCAACCGCAGCCCTTGTGGATCAGAGGTAGATTTACCACCATGCGACTTTGATACCAAGACGGTGGTGGATTCTGGCATTGGTTTACTCTTAGTTGGGCTTCCTGATAAAACAGCGAAACTTATTTATTACTTGATCAAGAAATATGGGTTCTCATATTTTCATCGAAAAATAAAGAGTGATCGTTATTATGAAACTGCTCTGCGCTTGTTTTTGTGCAAAACAAACGTAGAGCAGCTTCATAGTGACGATCACTCTTTATTTTTCGATGAAAATATGAGAACCCATAGCTTGGGATTACTAATCTAGCAAGAGCATGTTAAAACACCCAAATCCGACTTTCTATTAACCTCGGCATTGATTGAATAATTCTTTCTACTTCTGTTCAGCGAACACGAGGTGCAATTTTATTTCTTTATTTACGTACAAGCTGACGTTTCGGCGGATTTCACCTTCCTCAGAGCCTTGAAAGGTCAAGTTGACAGCAACCTATTCGGCCAAACAACACCTCCGTAACCAAACAAAGATAACGCTAAACCAAGATTTCAATCACATTTAACACAACTCTGCACACTCACCGCTTTCTATGAGTCTTCCACTGAGTATGTCGCGTGAAGACCGACCGCACCAAATTTACATGGAAGCGTAATGTACTCCTCCCATCAGAATAACAGGTTTATACACTGTCCAATATCACGCGTGATAATGAGGCATTACTCCCTGCGGTTCATTTTCGGATCCTTGGAATTAATCCAGAATGCCTCTAGAGTTTTTGCGCCCTTGTGTTCTCGATTCTTGTGCGAGGATCGTAACCCTTACTTCAAAATCTTCTCCGTTATGTCTCTGCGTCCTATGCGTGCCTAGTGCAGTATTTGGTTTATGTTTGCCGACTAGATGTTCTTTTATACGTATGCAGAGTGGTCTACCCGTTTCGCCAACGTATAAGGGTAAAGAGTTCGTTGTAATTCCCTACCAGTTAGATGTTGAGGTAACGGAAAAGTACCTTGAAAATGCGTCCCTTTATCGTCCTTCGTCTGAGAAGGAATTTAAAAGTCAATACCGAAAGTTAAACAACGACTGAGTTAAAATGGCAAGATCAGCTGGGTTAGAACCGTCAGTTATCTCTCCACTCATAGTTGACTCACGTCCTGTCCTGTGCTTACTCATCAAGACCCATAAGTTAGTATCCAGTGTTGATCTCGTGTCTGCTAATCCATCGTTATTTAAGGTTAGACCTATCATTAGCTGCGTGGACGAGCCAACGAATAGAATAACGTGGTTAATAACACTAATACTTACTCAGTTGTTGAAGTACATTCAAGCTCATCTAACGAACACCCAAATGTTCCTGGATCGTCTACGAAACGCGCGACCCAACAGCGCGTACGTGTTGGAGTCCTTCGACGTCACTGCCCTGTATACGAACGTGTCGAATGACTCCGCTATGCAAGCCATCCGCGAGCTCCTTATAAAACACGAAGGAGCAATAAACATGTACGGCTTCTCGATTCAGCAGTTGATGACACTCTTAAAGGAGTGCCTAAACTGCTCAATCTTTAGATGCTTTGAGAGGTATTACGCACAAATGAGAGGGCTCGCAATGGGACAAAGTCTGGCACGAAGCCTTGCCATTGAATTCATGTCTAAGGTGGAAGCGTTAGTAATTGACCTCGGTCCGTTAATCTACTGTAGATATATAGATGACCGCTTGGTCATTTGTTCAACACAAGAAGAAATTGACAGATGTTTCGAGTTGTTGAACGAAGAACGAACAGTCAGAGTATATTAAGGACAATAGGGATTGATCAACCTTTTTGGATTATTACGCTAACATGAGATTGTTAAACAGGTTCATTTGGCTAACATTTCGACGTCTTCATCTTTTCAAGAGCAGGATTGATCCGAGTCGATGGTCTACAGCTGATAGTTGCCACTATGTGGGTGTTCGTTGTCGTATCGAGGTGAATCCACTGGAGACGCCCTGCTCGAGTGGTTCACTTCAATCAGTAGTGACCTTTTGTACAAGACTGGTGTCAATTAATTGCCGCCATCCATGTGCTCCCACTGTGGGTGGGCATTGCATCCCTCTGGAGTCGGAATTATGTCGGCTAATATGTAAAAAGTATTTGTCAACTTTTTTAATACTCTTTTAGATCCCTTTATTCCTAATTTTGCAAAAAGATCAATGTTTGTTTGAAAATACGAAACGAGAAATATGTATCAAAATATCGTACAACTTAACTACAAAGGTTTCAAACCTTCTTTAAAAAAAAGGAAATTTTGAGCCACAAAGTCAACAACACTTTTGTACAACCTAAAACCCTTAAAACGAATACTGAAAAAATGAAGGAGGTTCTACCATCATAGATCACCTACAGGAATCACTCGTAAGTAAAACAGTAGAAGTGTTACATTCGCTAGTTCAGCCTCTTCCGGTTCTCCCAAGCCTCCCTTACTCGGCGGGAGTCAATATTGCAACAGCCTTTCTTAGAAAATGCTACTTCTAATACTAAAAGTTTTAGGAAATAGTACCTGAGTGATCTCTACTAGTGCTACGTCAGAACTTCAAAAGGATACCTCGGCTAATGTGAAAAGACATTTATGGTGACGGTAAAGCGCTGAACAAGCAGTCTAGTCCGCACGAAAGTCGAAAGACCTTCGTACGTGACGAATGCAAGACAATGAACTGAATGAAAGAAGTGCTGGCATTTGAGCAACCTATGTTGACATGTGAACAAAGGATAGAGGATAAACGTCTCGGCGTTGATCGATCCCTAAGGGATTCTCCATGCACTCGACTACATTGAACACCGTTTGAGGTGATTGAATGAATATCTGGCCTTCAAAATAACTCGCGGTACCCCACCAATGCATCGAGCCACTGCTCCCATCCTCTCAGACAAGCGTCGTAGCCACTTTTGACGACCCCGGGGGGATGGTGGACTTGCTTAGCTTGGGGTGCGGAGATATCGATCCCATATGTATTGCAGGGCGCCTCCGACCACTGCGTTAAACGCGCCATTACCTGTACAATGATGATGTAGTGGTATTAATAAACGTACCTGAAAACAATATAAACAATATAACTTCACTGTTGCTGAGATAATTGCAAAACTCCGGACCGCAGGTGTATGCGGTCCGGAGTTTTGCAAATATCTCAGCATCATTGAAGTTATATTTCGCAATGTATACCCTGCCGTGAAAAAGAGTAGGTAGTAAATAATACGTTAAGATTGTGAATATAAACAGTGCCAAAATAAACACATAAAGATACTGTTATGATAGAGGAGATAACTGACAAAAAAGAATGCCTTCTGCATTTGATTGATTAATTAGCCTTAGAACAATCGACATGTTCAAATGCCACTATGGCACAACTAAGAAAATCCTGAGGTAAATTTTAGGGCACGAAGAAACAACGTGAAATGACTGTGCGACTGAAAAAGATTTCTTATGTTTTATTCTGGAATGGGTGCCAGGTATGGACAAGTCTAGTTTATCATTAGCCTGATCTAGCAAGTGGTCATATCATACCAGTTCGCAGTCTCTATAGAAATACAGGACGCTATGAGTGAATATAGAATGTTTGCCACAGTGTACAGAAGCAGGATACTACCAAACGTAGATAAAACATTTTTAGTGAGATTTTACTCATTACATTTGATTTTTCAGAAACCAGTCGGTATACATTAGACCTGGATCATAGTTTTACAAAAATTGGTGTAAGCTGAGCAATGCAAAAAAATTTCCATTAGCCTTAAAAAATAACTACTCATCTCAAATAGTACAAATTATTTTTCACCTTTAACTGTGGGTTGAATACTGAAACAGTACAGTAACATTTTTTGTAGCGTGTGTGCTGCGAGTATAGAGTCGTTTCTGGCGTCCAACTTCGAAAACACAGGCAGATGTTCATCTTCCAGCAGAGTCATCCGCGTCAAGATTGAATTTGACATTATCCAATGTTGAACATACGTCATCGTAGAGCTCCATCAGCCTTTTCTGGTTATCTTCTCCTGCAATAATGCAGAAACAACTGCTGCGCTTTTATTAAGATCTTTATTCTGCTGAAGTAGGTTCTA